TTTAAATACAAATGAAATTTTATTTAATGAAGAAAACACATAAGATTTATCTGCTAATTTACCTCTTTTACCTATTAAAACTAGGTGAAATTCTTGGTTTAAATTTATAACTTGAATTGAGAAATATTATCAACATTTTATTATATTTTTTATTGAAGAATCTGCAGAAAAAAAGTCTAATGTTATTAAAGAATTAAAAGAGATTTTTCAGAATCAAAATCAAATTTTTTATATTGATATTTTAATTAAATTTATTTCATTTAATGCACAAAGGTAAATATTAAATATTTAATTTTTTTTAATTATTTTATATTTATTTAAATATCAAAATTAAAGTTTTTAATTTTTAGATTAATGTTAGATCTTGAATTTTTTAAAATAAGAAATTTGGCTATTCCACCTTTTGTTATTTCAAGAATTATACAAACAAAAGCTTTTTTTACAAAATAGAACAAATAATTCACTATTTAGTGTAGAAATAATACAATTATTATCTCATAGTCATCAAAATTATGAATATCTTACTCCAATTTTTTCTGAAGCTTTTAAAATAGCATTAAAAAAATTTGAAAAACATGTAAATTTTCATTCTGCATTACCATTATTTAATGCTATTCAATGTTTTAATTCTTAATTTATTCAATTATTTCAAAATAGACATAATTTAGTTAGTTATAATTTAATTACAGAATTTCAAAATCCTTCTAATTCTATTATAAATGAATGGACAATTTATTGTGGTTTATCAGAAATTTTTGAGGATGGTGATTTAGATTTAAATCAATATTGGCAAGAAAAATAAAGAATTCTTCTGAATTTATCAAAAGTAGCATTAATTTATATATGGTTGCCTATTTCGGAAGTTGATGTTGAATATAGTTTTTCCAATTATAAAGAATTTTAGATGATAGACACAAATCACTTTCAGAGAATTCTATTAAAATGTTGAATTTTTTATATTATAATAATCAATAAAATTGAAATTTATATTTTTATTATATAAAAAATTTTTTTGCATATTTTGCATTTTTAGTAATTTTAAAATGCATAATTTTTAATTTTGCATCACACGAACCCGTGGACTCTAAGCTAAATATAATCAAGATTTTAGCTACTCAAAGAAAGCAGTTGGATTAGCTCTTGAAATAGGCTGTAAAAACGAATTAAATGAAATAAATGGATAAGAGTGAAGAAATATGAAACTCGTTCTAAGCAACTAGAGACCAACAAAAAAAATTTGCTGAATATTAGCAATCCTTATCAGATGCGTACAAAAGGTATTTCAAAAAAGCATATAAAGAATGCATCAGAAGGAAATCAAAAGTCAAAGTCAAGTGGAACTACTAGTACTTATCAATCACAGTATATATGCAATCACTGTAAAGGTATTGGACACAATGCGCGTAGATGTAATTTAAAGAAATCTAAATTTAAATAATTTATGAATAATTAGTTTAGTATACCAAATTGTTATTGTTTGAATAAAGGATTTTGAAAATAATATGTAATTAAATGTGTAATAATTTATTGAATGAATGTGCAAATTCAAATTCAAAACTCCGAAATGATGAAAATATTGAAAAAATTGAAAAATTAAAGGCCTAGTACAGTTAAACGTGCATTTCTAAGATTAAAAAAGATTATTTAATATTCTAACCACTGAACTAATTGGATAATAAACAATAGTTTTATTTATTTATATATTATACATTATGTGATATATTTAAAAAAACCCAGGCGATGCTCAGGCGACAATCATTCAGGTGTCAATTGCTTAGGCGTTTCCAATAAATTATATATTTTTATATAAAGAAGTAGTTAAAAAAAACTTTTTATTATTTATAAATAAGTTAAATGTTTTATTTTTTATTGCTAATTATTTATGTATAACTAACGAAACATTACAGTATATAGGACATGTTACATGACTGATATCTTTTATATGAACATTGGTTAAAATTATCAAATGAAATTGTGATATGTGTGATCAGTTTAAGTATTCTTAGAAAGAAATAGAATTTTTATAATTTATAATTTATTGGATTTAGATAAAGTACTTATTTTAGCACACAAATCGCTTTTGATTTTTTAATCATATTTATTTGTATCGTAAGCAATTTCAAATTTATTATGCTATATCCAAATCCTTGACAAAACACAATACATACAGTATATTCGATCTGATATATATATTATAAATGCTATATCTAGAAAAAAAATACTTTTATAAAGAATAATTACTTACAATATTTCATAACTTTGTTCAATAGTATTTATGGTAATCAACCTTAAAACGTATTGTTTTACTTGATTTTTTAATCCAAGGAGGTATTTTTTGAGAACTTTCTCCTTTTATAGTATAAAAAGGTTACCTTCTTTATATTATCAAAACATTCCAGTAAGATAATAAAATAAAACTTAATCTTTTTTTTAGTATCAAGTATATTTTTAAAGTCATTCAATCTTTTAACTTTGATACCATGATTTTGATTAATAATCATCTGAAAAGCAAATTTGATAAAACCAATGAATCTGCTGAGGTGACATTTTTTTGTTGTGGTTGATAATATTCATAATTTGTATTAATCTCTTCTATTGATTGGAAAGTTTTATTTCTAAGGCTTGGGAATGTCTTTATTTTTGTTTTATAATTTCCAAATTCTAAGCAACGTGTTTCAAACTTTCTACCAATTCATAACATCTTATGTGCAAATGCTTCAAATAAATTTTCCTACAAAGTTGCATATTCCATTTGATCTTTACTTACTGATAAAAAATTGCATAATACTTCCCTTTTCTCATTCTCATAATGTTCTATAATCCTTTCACTTACATATGTTAATGCAAAAAGTATCATTTGCTTGCTGTATGATAAAAGTTTTATATTTATTCTATGAGAAAATTCATTTATATTATCATTATTCAATTCTTCACCTATAGAATCAAATCCTTCATATACATATATAATATTGTTATCATTAAATTCTTTATCAGGGATATTAGTATAGATATGCACAATCTTATGGTTAATCTCAAGTTTAGGGTCAATTACGTCTCCAACTTTTTTTTAATATCATATCAAGGTCACAACTTTTGATTGCACTATCCATTTCTTGATGTATCAACTCTACTGGTATTGTACTTGCTTTTTGTAAAACAATTCGTGGAACCCCTCCCCAGATTTTAAAAAACTTTCTGGCCTTTTTATAATCAACTTTAGAGTATAAAACTTTTCAAGAAACATTTGAATCCACTGCTAAATCATTGAATGTGTTTTTGGAAATACATGCAAATATTTCATCCCATGTTCATACTGGCATATAAAGTTTTCTTGTTCCTGCCCATTTTTCAAAGTTTCAATAATTCTCTTTCTGTGATAAAGTTGCAAGAATCATTCTGGCTTCGCACTTCATTGGATGTTTTCCATCAACAAGACACCAAGTATCTGATTTATTTAATTCATTTGATAAATAGCATTATTGTTCCATAGAATATATTTCCTTGATGAAAGAAAAAAGAAGTCTGATTGACTTGATCATACACTACACTTTTTCCCTTTTTTATCAATTGGATAAGCAAGTAGTAACCAAAGAATGTTTTTCCAATCCCAGGAGTTCCTGAAATACAAAAATTTACATCATCACGATCAAAAATTATCTTGGAGAGATCAGTATAACTCAGGGTTGGGAAGTACAGTGTTAGTACAATGATTAGTACAATTAGTACAGTTAGTACATTATAATAATTAATATAAAAATTAGTACAAGTACAGTACAAGTACAGTGTTAATTTTATCTAGTACATACAAAATTCCCAACCCTGAGTATAACATTGACGGACAAAAAGATTTGATCCTTGTTTTGATTCACCCAATAAGTAGGTGCCTTCCGTTAAAGATATTATTTTTTTGTCAATTTCAACATTTTGAATCTCCTTCCAGAATTTAACAAGATGTGTATTTCGTCTAAACGTAATCTTTTATAAGGAGAAGATTGAAGAAATTCTTTGAGAAATTTTAAAGGATCATTAGTCAAATAAATTCCGTGGTAATGAAAAGGAATGGATGGATAATTCCTTAACTTTACACTTTACCTGCTGTAATGCGTAAATAAAACAATAAATAAAGTACAAGTTAAGTCACGATATACAAAATTCTCATAAAAAAATAAAGTGGATAGAATAATTTTTGTACAGTATCACATACTATTTGTTCATACCTCGTAATGCCTCTCCCCATAAATCCTCCCGTCATTTTCAACTCCTCTATCGTCATCTTCAACTCCTCTATCTTATCCTCCCACCTCTTCTTCTTTTCGTTATCCAACTTACATTATAACTCGTATTTTCTTTCCTCAAACCTCTCCAATTTCTTCTTTGTCTCTTCAAATTCTTTTTTGACCATTTCAATTGTCGTCATTTTTGAGATCAGGGAATTTCAAATTTTGAAAAGGTATGGATGGTTATGCCAAATTAATTAGTTTTACGAATTTAATATTTATAATGATGAAAATCCCGCAAAACCGGCCAAAAGTCACATGGAGGAGTTACTCAATTTAATCATAATTTTTAATTTCATATAAAATTACATTTTTGATATTTGATAATCATCATCATCATTACATACTTCATTCTTTTTAAAAAGTAAGTTGAATTATTTATAATTTTCGTTTGATAATAATGTTTCGTATGATGATTCCATATTTCGGTAATTTGCGTTCGAATACCACCTTATGCGACATATGCCTAATGTCAATATGCGAGGATGTTGTGATATGTGAACAACTATTTTTCTGAAGAACAGAGAAATTTTTTTTTTAATAGATAATGAAAATTTCATTTAATTTTAATGATCCTTTTTTTTTTTTTTTTTTTTTTGAACAATAATATCATAGATTGGTGATATAATATTCAGACCATATTGGCAAGTTTATTTTTTTATTTTTTTTTTGAAAACCTTATTTACTGATAATATTGCCCTTAATATTATAGGTTGGGTTGTAATGACGCAATTGAATGATCCTCGAATCAGAGGTTTGGGAACTCTTCATGTTATTCCGGATGATATATTTTCAGAACATGTTTTGGCCAAATTATCCGATCAGGTTTGTATGTTTTAAGATTTCATAAAAAATATAATGTTATATTTAATAAAGTTTATTTTTATTTCATATTTAACAAGGATTTAGCTCATTGCGCTAGAGTATCCCGGTTTTTTTACGTATTTTCGCGCGATGATCAGCTCTGGAAAAAGCATTGCTTGGATAAATGGGGTAGTGACCATGGTGTCATGCATAACTTTATGTATCGTGGAACTTGGCTGCTTACTTATTTATTTCCAACCATGTTGAACGAAATTGACGAGGAAAAGGTTTGGGCACATCCATTATGTCGACTTTTACATTTCCCCGGTAAATATCACGATTGAATTACTTCATTTAAATTTTTACTCTGTCGTGTTTTGAATCAACAAATTACTTATTACGATTAAATAGAAATTACGAGTCATTACCTATATGCAAAATGGTGTCGTTGTAATATGTTTCTTGGCAAGTTTGTACCGACACAAAAGACTTCATCAGATTCGAAAATTTCTACAGAAAATGAAATGGAATTGATAAATGAAAAATTCGAGAGTTTATATGATGCACAGTCAGTTCCTGTTTTGATAAGAAATGATAGTGTTGAAAAGTGGAAAGCTTGGACTGAGTGGAAATGGGAAACCCTATTAAAAAAGGTTTGTATCATATTTTTTTTTGTTTGAATTATATTCATAACTTTACATTAATATTGTTAAAGTATGGCAAGACCATATTCCGAGTAGCTAATGAAAGAGGAGGAAAACATCGATATCTACCGATGTCCCTAGAATCATATATACGATACATACGTGCGCAACATGACGAAACACCTTTATATATTTTTGACGCTAACTTTGCTGATAAAGAACCGGAAATGGCTGATGCATACGAAGTGCCAAAGTATTTCCAAGACGATTTTTTTTCTGTTTTATCGGGTAAAAGACCACCATATCGATGGATTATAATCGGTCCTGCAAGGTCAGGTGAGATTTGATTCTTTCTTCTCATATAGCTTGATTCTTACGGTGCAAATAATGCAAGTTCTTTTTTTTAGGCGCGTCTTGGCATGTTGATCCCGCTGGAACGTCAGGTTAATATCTATTTAATTCAAATTTCTCCTTACGCTTAACCCTTGCTTATTCATATTTTTTATATTGATTAGCTTGGAATATAACCATTGAAGGAAGAAAACGTTGGGCATTGTACGTTTAAATTCAATTGATAGATATATATTTTATAATTTAACTTTTTCTTGAATTATTCTGAATTATTAGATATCCACCACATATTTTTCCTCCAGGTATATTATTATTATTATTAAAAGAACCAAATTAATACCATTGCTCTTCCAATACGTATATTTTCTAAAATTCTTATTTATAATATATATTTTAGGGTTAAGTGTATCTCGAACTGGCATTAACAACCATCAGTCACTTTACAATACTGATATACTTGATAATGCAAAGGATTCTGCAACTTCTTTATTTTGGTTCCTTGAAGTTTATCCTCAACTACCACCAGAAATGCGACCACTCGAGATTATACAAGAACCTGGGTAATTAGTTAGATTTATTATTAGAAGCTCAAAGTTAATTGTGAGAAGTAATTTTATTCTTAACGATATTTTTATTTTGTTTTTGTAGGCAAATAATTTTCATTCCAAGGTAAATCACAAATATATAACAAGTATTACGCGAAAGTATATGACTTAGGCCTTTCTTTATATTAACAGTCTTCTTTTCTTGGTTGATGATTTATAGTGGTTGGTGGCATATGGTAATAATTTTTTTGAATATCGACATTTTTTCCCCTATATAAAATTAATTACGATCTGTTCTAGGTCCTTAATATTGACGATACTGTTGCAGTTACTCAAAACTTTGCCAATATTCATAATCTTGAACATGTTTGTGAATCTTTGATTAGCGAAAAAGACAAACATAATGCATGTAAAACAATTTCATATAGTTTTATTTAAAATGTTCATTTCATTTATATTCAGTAATAGAATATAATTTGCTTTTTTTGTTATGTTTTTAATCAGATGTGGGAAACTTTTCATGAAAAAATGCTAAAAACTTACCCTTATCTTGAACCATTTATTGCGCGTAAAGTCTCTATATTTTCAGATACAACTGATGATCCGGTTATAAAAGAGGAAGGATTTACTTCCAGATTGGATTTTCTTGAAGGATTCCGAGATTTAAAAATTTGGCACCCTAGAGTAATTGATGTATTGGGAAGATATTCGTTAGATGAGAATGTCCCTATAGAAGTTATTTCACAAGGACAAAATCCAGTATGTATATTCATTTATAATGAATTAAATCTAACTTGATAATATGAATTTAAACTAAACGTTTTATTATAAAACCTACCAGGTTTTCCGAAGTTCTGCAACAATAATAAAGTTTTATTCTCATATATTTAATGGAGTCAAAACGTTTAACGGCGAAATTCAAATTTATTCTATAATTACTGATCATATTCCCGAGAAATATAAAAGATATTTCTCGAAAATTTTAGGGTCAGGTTATTTATTTTATGAAAGCATTGAAAGACATTATAGATGGCCTTACATTGTATTTGAAGCCGACACTATTGGCGGAATAAGTCTCGCTGAAGTTATTGCTAGAGGAGGTTCGAGTCCGAGTAATGAAGTGATCGACTTTTCTGCTGAAATACTTCATGGTACTGTACATCGAGATATCAATAAAATATATCTTTTTTGCTTTATAAATTATAAGTTTTTAATCGATTATTTTATTCTTTTAGCTTTACACAGTTTACCATCCGCTTTTATTCCAGATCATACGAACGAAACAGCATTTGAACATCCATTTCATCAATTTATTAATCTTCAAATATCACGTGCATCGAAAGTTCATTCTGGATGGTTGATATTTCCACTTCATTTAATTTCACAAATTTCCTCATATTTACCATCTTCATCGTATGAAATTCATAATTCGGAACTTGATGGACCACTAGCAGGAATATTACATGGTGATTTAAATGCCGAAAATATTTTAGGTGCTGTGTTACCTTCTGAAGGTTCTTCAAACAACCTTGACCACGATCATAAAGAGCATCATGGTAATTGTTCAGATGATGATGATGAACTAATGGGTTATTGGACACCTACAACTATCATTGATTTTGGTGATTCGCAAGTTTATGGTGGTGATCCATTGTTCGATTTGATACCAATTTATATTTCAGTATTAAGATGTTCAAAAATATTGTTGAAGGGATTCATAGAAAAATATAATGATGAAATCGAAGGTAAACAAAAAATATCGTTGAGAATGTTTAGAAGAAGAGCAATGTGGTACACTTTATTATGGGAATTTGAAGGAGCTGTGAGGTATTTAATTGGTCATTTTCCTAATGTTAGAGAATGTAAAAATTGGGAAGAAGTTGAAGACCTGGTTTGGGGAATTGAATAATTAATATAAATTTTTTAAAAAAAGTTCATTTATTATTTAATAAGATTGTCTATGAAATTTTTTTAAAGTATGATTGATATTATATATTAGTATCTATGAATTATTTTTAAAGTATAAATTTATACAAATATATATATATATATATTAAAAATATTTTGCTCTTATTGTACACTATAAATTAATGTGTCATGTTAAATTAAAGAAACGAATGAAATTAATAAAAAAAAAAAAGGATAAATAATCAAAGGATCCCAATTAAAAGATGTATTATGCCGACCCAAATATTTTTTACAAGAATAATAATTACAAAAAAAATTAAATTGAAATGAAATGATAATGATAATGATTTATATTCTACAAAGTCATAACAGAAGGTACGAAAGATAAATGAAAATGAAAAATTCGATCTAAAACATGCTATAAGATGGAAATCAATTATATCGAACTCAGTTGAATAGTTAAGTCCATGTTCTTTTGCAAAACCTGTTAATAAAAAAAAAATTCAACAAATTACGTTAAAATTATGCTCACGATAAAATCAATGAGAATCGTTAGTTTTATTACCTCTTGATATTGAGATTCCAAATTCCTGAGCCTTTTGTCAGCTTCTCGTTTTTCACGTGACAATTGTTGTTTATCATTTATTGCCTCCATAAGACCCACTTGAGCTTGTGCAAGTTTTTCTGTTAATCGATCACAATCTAATTGCGATTCTTTCAATGTATTCTCCAATTCTCTAAGTCTCCGTTCCAAATCAATTAATTTGCTTGAATCAACTTTTTCAACATGATTGATCTGTCGCTTTTCTATGGACTCTAAACGCATTTGCATTGTCTTGCTAAGTTTTTCAAATTCTTCCTCATGTTGCTTTTTAAGAGAATTGATTGCATTTTGATGACTGCGGTTAAGTTTATCTTTTTCTTGAACCTGTTCTTTTTGAATTATATCAAGTTTATTACGAAGCATGGATATGGTTTTTTCAGCTTGCGCTATTGATTTCTCGGCATTCTGTACAGCATGGTGTTGTTCATCATCGGCTTCCGAAAGTTTCTTATTAAGTGACGTGATTTGCCCCTCAAGAACTTCTTTTGACATTTTATATGTCTCTATCTGTTTATTAAGGGTCATAATGGTTGTTGTAGCATTAGAAAGTCGAACATTCGCATTTGCATCTTCCTTATTTGCAGAGTTTCTTTTATGAGTTTCTACAATATGTTCTTTTTCGATCAGTTCTTGTCGAAGTTCTGTAACCTGATCATGTAGTTGTTCAATTTCAACCTGCGAATTAGTAAGGCGACTTTGAAGTTCACGTACTTGATTATCAGCACTTTGTCTAGTTTGTTCCGCATCTAATTCGACTGCTTTCAATTTTGCTGTAAGACGATTTGTTGATGCTTCAAGACCTTCAATACGTGTTTGCAATTGTTTTTTGACTGTTTCCAATTGACATATTTCCATTTCTTTCTTCTCGTATTCAATTTCAATCTTATTTAGCTTTGTTGTAAGTTCATCACCTTGAACACCAGAAACATTGGATAATTTATTTTCTAATTCTTCTTTTTCCTTAATAAGATGATGAATACGTGACTCATTTTCTTCTTTTAATCGAATTGAATTTTTAACTTGTTCATTTAACCTATCCAACTGTTTCTTTACATCTGTCAACTGACTTGATATTCCACCACTTTCTTTCGATATATTTGACAAATCGCCTTCAATTTTTATTTTTTCAGACTCCAATTCGCGTACTCTAATATTTGCTGCCTCCTTTTCCCTATTAACAACAATAATTTTTTGTTCCATGGCTTGTTTTTCGGAACGTATGATATCCAACTCGGATCCTTTCATTTTTAATTCAGATTCAACAGACTCGTAATGAGAAATAATGTCTGTTTCTTTTTGTCGCCATTCCTCACGAGCAGAAGCCATATCTTTCATTAAAGTTTGCATTCCATTTGCTTGTTCTTCCAAAGCTTTTGAGAAAGCTTCATTTTGTTTCTTGGAAATTTGTAAATTTTCGGATATATGTTCAGAATCCCTTGATAATGATTTTAGGTTAATATTTTCTGCCTGTAAATCAGTTACTTGAGAAAGTAAAGTAGCCCTTTCCATTTGTGATTTTTGAAATTCATCTTTTAAATTTCTATATTGTTTCTCCCATTCTTCCTTCATAATAGATATAACTCCCACTAACTTATTACGTTCTCCTTCTAGTTCCTCAACTTCACCTTTCATTGTTAAACCCTCTTCATGTAAGCGTTGCAATTCTACTTTAGCATTATCCAATTCTGAAGTTAATTGTTGTGTTTCTGAATTAAGTTTCTCCTTTTCTTTTTCTAAAGTCTCATTTTTTTGTTCAATTTCTTCAACTCTCTTGCGTAAATTTATGAGATCATCCGACAGTTGCTGATTTTTTTCAACATATTGCTTATATTTCGTATTGAGTTCTGAATCAGATTCAAGACGACGACGGGAGTCTTCTATAGCTGTAACATTTTCCAAAAGTTTACGTTCAAGTGTTTCATTCTTATTCATTAATTCGGCAATTTTTGCTACATGCTCTTCCTTCAATTGTGTCTGTATTGATTCGAATTCATCAGAACGACCCTTTTCCATTTCTTGCCTCATGAAACGCTCGCTTTCTTCATTTACTTTAACAAGCTGTTCTTGAAGTTTCTTAAGAGCTTGCTCATGTGATGATGTCAAATCTGCACGTAATGTAGCAATCGCCTCTTCGCGGTCTTTTTTGTGACAATCTTCCAATTCAAGAATCTCTTCATTTTTTTGTTTAATCTTCTCGTCTCCTTCTTTTCGAATAATCTCAAGTTGACTCTCCAGTTTTTGAATCTGTTCCTCTTTCTCCGAAATTAAACTCTCCAATTTCTCATAACTCTCTTTAATTTTATTAACCTCCATATCACGATCGGATAATTTGAGACGTAAATTAGACAATTCATTGTTTGCATCGCTTAGTCTCCCATGTAATTCTTCTGATGCCGAAACTACATTTTCTTTATTATCTAATTTATTTTTGAGTTCTTGAATATCATTTTCTTTTTCTTGCTGATATTGAACAAGCATATTTTCAGCATTTTCCTTTTCCCTAGTAAGTGTTTGTAATTCTTTAAGAGTACGCGAATGTTCTTCCTCTAATTTATTTAGATTGAACTCGGTTTCCTCTTTTTGCTTTGCTGAACCTCCAAGCAATAAAAGTTGCTTTTTACATTCACTCAAAGAAGCTTCAGTATCTTTTTTATATTTTAGCCAATTAGCTTCCGAGTTCTCCGTTTGTTTTATTTCTTCTAAAAGCTGTTCTTTTTCAGATTGGACAGTTTCTAACCTACTCTCCAACTCTCTTTTTTCAATTTCGTTTTGTTTTCTTAAATCATTAAGTTTAGATTCGTTTTCGATTTGTAATTTTGAAATATTAATTTTCGACTGTTTTTCATGTTCTTCCCTTAATAATTCCTTTTCCCTCTCATGATCTTGCTTCATAGTTCGTTTTTCATTCTCAGAATATTCTTTTAATTCTATCAATTCTCTTTCAGCTTGCTCTTTTAAAACATTACATTTCTCTTTTTCTATAATTATTCTATCTCTTTCGGCATCACAGGCTTTCTTTAGTTCCTCTTTTTGATATCTATGTGATTTAATTAATTCCATACGAATCCTTTCTTCATTCTCTTTAAATTGTTCAGAAAGTTCTTTTCTCGTTCTCTCTAATTCACTCCAATGTTCACTTGTTAATTCTTGTCTTGCTTTCTCTAGATCCTCATCATTATATTTTTTATCCGATTGAACTTCAGCATTATCTACACTATCATTTGTTTCGCACGATGGTACCCGTGAACGAGAAATAGAAGAACTAGAATTATGGGTTGTAAAAGTAGAAGGAGTACTTGCTTCTGAAAAATAATCTGAAAGTTGTCTTGAAGATTTTGTATCAGAAGATGATCTTTTGATAATTTCATCTTCAGCTTCATGTCGACTTTGACTTTCTCTATTCTGTACAGGCTGTGTGGCCGATTCCCTCTTTTCCAAATTCTTACCCACAGTTACAAGTTCGTCCTCTAAAGCAGAGATACGAGCCAACATTGCAAAAGCAGAGGCGGAAGAACTAGTAGGCATTGGTTGTTCTGAACTTTGTTCTGAACTCTTCGTCAGGTCAATGGCAGAATCTTTTCTATTTGGATCATTATAAATGGAATTAATTTTATCGGTGGTTGGAGAAAGACTTTTTTTTTCAGGTATGATGGGGAAGGATGTTGTGGAGGAGAAGGAGGTGGTGGTGGAAGAGGTGGAGAAGGTGGAGGTGGAGGAAGAGGTGGATATTTTTTTTTCAGAGGCGTTTTTAGCAGTATTAGTATCTTTTAATAAAAGTTTTTTTTTTTCAAAGGTTGAAGTATTATTATTATTATTATTATTATTATTATTATTATTATTATTATTATTATTATTATTATTACTATTATTATTATATCTATTTGAATTTGTCTCAAATCCTTTATTAACGTTTTTACGTTCAAATTTTGATCCTATTGAAGTTTCATTGTTTTTTGTTGTTCCTTTGTTTTCAAACTTTGATTTTTTGTCCTTTACGGAAGGACCTGCTAAGGTTTCAAACATACGTGCCGCAGAAAGGACGTTGGAAACTTTGGCTGTTATTATTTTAGGTTTTGTTGAAAGGTCCTTCGAACCAGGTTCTTCGGTTTTACCCGTCTTGTAAGTTTCTTTAAGTGCTGCCATTTTTTACTTATAAAATAGGAAAATAGAAGTGACTTTTTTTTAAAAAAAAAAAAAAACAAAAAAAAACAAATAATAATAATAATAATAAAAATGTAAAAAAAAATGTTGAAATGTGAAATTTTTTTAAAACAAAAATCCCCAATATAAATAAATATTTCGTGAATACTTGCATTAGTTAATTTACTATATCGAGATTGGATTGTTATTAATTGTAAGAATTTACCCAAAGACCAATTATTATAGTTAAGAGTCACACAGAAAATCATTTAAGTATAATCAAAATCATAGAACCAACAGTTTGGTTCGCAATGCCATTTTCTCCTTTGAAAAATATAACAATGATACTCAACTAACCATTTCAGGAAAACCGATGTTTTTTTATTCACCAACCAAAAAGAATAAAAAAATTAATCTATAAATATTTAAACAAAACCAAAAAAAAAAAAAATGATTCAATAATTTACACTCGAATTCGTTTATTATTTATTATCTTTCTTCATTCTTGGGCGCATATATTCTTCTCCCATTCGTGTTTTCTTCGACAAATTTCACCTGACTCGCAGAATCCACCTACCATGAATTCTTTACAATAGCCTGCTCGCTTGCTGACTTTTACATGTGTATAACGGCATTCACTACCTTTAAGGCACATCCTCTTTGCAAAATGACTGCAATGTGGAATCACATGGGCCGATAATACATGTTGACGAAAACATTTTTTGACAGAAGAACAATCATCTCCTTTGAGCCATTTTTTACAAACCTCAACTCGATTTGGATCGTGCTTATAAGGACATCGATCACCGTCGTTACAACGGCCTGTTTCATATAAATAAGATTAACCTAAAGTTTTGTGAATAATTTTAGATAATCAATTTAACTTACCATACTTGTTATAGGAAACGCAGTGTTTGTTCATGCTTTGTGAATCATTTGCAAAACTAAAAATAATTGAAATTTCTATGTCAATAAATTTTAAATATTTGCAGTAATTTTAAATCAAAATAAATCAAATTATTTATATATAAACTTTCCTATTAAACTCCGCATTCCTCTGACCTTTAAGTAGATCGGCACGAACAAGCTTGTTCGGCTTTTGCTTAACATATTCACAATGGTGCGAGTAATTTGGGGTTTTATCAGAAGTTTCTATTGCATTCTCTCCGTTATTATTTTGCCCAGAGGATGGTGGGTTTGTTTCATCAATCGTACATATTATTGATGGAATGATGGAAACTACAGAGGATTTCGCAATTGGATAATTTCCTTCGTTGGAATTAGGTGTGTCCTTTGTCACATCTTTATTGTGGTCATACTCTTGAAACTCGGTTAAAACTCCCTTAGTAAGATTTGTCTGTGCTACAAAAGTGTCATTATTGTTGGTTGTTTCTATTGAAGAGTGATTTGACATATTGTTGTCAAACCGAAAGGTATGAAAATTGAATGTAAAAAGATTCAAACGTGTGCAACCGACGACAATTGTAATGTCCCACATGCATCACATGTGCAACTCTTGAATTCCAAGATTCCAAGAATTGCATTTAATGTATATTATTTCTTGGAATTGGTGTTTCAGTCGAAACTAATTTCTTAAATCCGAAACAGGTTTCACCATATTTATGTGATCAAAGAATTTTTTTATTTGTGAAATTTCTGACTTCTAATACTTTAATTTAAAAGTGGCTATTTTTATTTCAAATTTTGAAATTCTCAAAAAAAGAATAAATCTTATTTCAATTGTGGTGACCAAAGTCTTTTGACTGAATAGCATTAATACAAATTCAAAAGGTTCTTTGGCTATTAGTAAACCGATGTATAATAAGTCAAAATATTTTCTTCAAATTTGATGAATGGATTTGTCTTTAAAAGAATATCATATTCATTTTCGTCTCAACTTCATAATCTCTATACTGATAACTATGTATATGAAAAAATCATTAATAAAGTTTGATTCAAATTTTTTTTCTTTGTAAAAAACGAAAATCTGCACTATATGTAAAAAAGGGCATATAGTAAACGGTATGGTAAAGGAAATGAATTTTATTTGCTTTACAATAAAGGTGTAAAAAAGCACCAATAATTATTTTGTGTTCAGGTTGTCTTGAAAATTAATTTCCATATCGAGAATTAACCGTTTGTGATCTATCTCAAATATAGAAATTTGCATTCTTCATGCTTAGAACATTTGATTTGGGATTTTTTTTTTTTTTTTACCACCCGCAATAAATGCTTTTTATCACTTCAATCGAAGACTTAAGTGCTTAAATATAATAGAGTATTATCGTTCAAAAACAGAACAAAAGGATTTGAAACAAGTTCTGGATTGTATAATTAAAAGATCTTCGAGTGGTTGGTGGCAAACTCCAAGTCTGAATTCGACGTAACGAAGCTCAAGAGATTTTGGGCGTTTGGAAAGTAAGTTATTAGTAGTAGCAGGATTATAATGGGCAAAGAGCTTAATCTGAACAGCAATGAGCTGCTTGTTACTCATAATATACGTATTTATTATAATATTTTAGTAACTTATTCTATCTTCTTATATAATTTTCTATTTATATTAGGAAAAGCATATACTTTTGAAAAAAAAGAAGGTAAATGATTAAATATTTAAATTATTTTAATAAGATTATATAATTCTTAGTTTAATTAAATTTTTTTAATTTAGCGTAATTTATTGGAACAAGAAGAAA